GTTTCTATATAAAGTTCTATTTTTTATACACACACACACACACATATAAATTATTTATTCATGAGAGACAGAGAGGCAGAGGCAGAAGGAGAAGCAGGCTCCCCGCAGAGCAGGGAGCCTGATGCGGGACTCCATCCCAGGAACCCGGGACCATGACCCAAGCCAAAGGCAGATGCTCAACTGACTGGGCCACCCAGGTGCCCCTATTTTTTATATTTTTATGGGGCTTGAACTCACAATCTTGAGATCAAGAGTCACATGCTCTACAGACTGAGCCCACCAGGCACCCCACTATTTTTTGTGTTTTGATGAATCATCATACTGTTTTCAGTCCATAGCTGTGTCATTTTATATTCCCACCAGCAATGCACAGGGGTTCTAATGTCTCTACATCTGCACCAACATTTATTATTTTCTGCTTTTTGACAATAGGCATCTTAGTGGGTGTGAAGTGCATCTAAATTTTCTAAGAGAAACTTTTTGTTAGGGAAATTTCCCAAATATAAAAAAAATAAGAGCGAATGCCAGTTGAACTGCTGTGTGTCTCTCCTCACTTCAGTAGTTAGGAACACTTGGCCGATCTTAGTTCAGTTAGTCTGACCTTTCTACCCCATTATTGGAATATGAATCCCAGTCTTCATACGCTTTTTCCCCCCTATTGTTAAAAGCAGAAAATAAACATAAAATTTTTCTAAAAAGATTTATTTATTTCTTAGAATGTGAGAGCAGGGGGAGGGGCAGAGGGAGAGGGAGAGAGAATCCTCAAGCAGACTCCCCGCTGAGCACAGAGCCCAAGACAGGGCTTGATCCTGGGATCTTGAGATCATGACCTGAGCCAAAATGAAGAGTCGATCACTCAACCAACTGGTTCACCCAGGTGCCCCTATAAACATAAAATTTTAATGTTATGAATATTATTGTAAATTTTACTTGCATCATTGTTCTGCCTTTCATTCAGTGATCATAATTCTTTTTTTTTTTTCCCTGAAGTAATCTCTGCACCCAACATGGGGCTCACATTCACCATCCCAAGATCAAGAGTCAGATGCTCGTCAATCAGAGAGAGACAATCATCATGTGGTTTCACTCATATACGGAATATAAGAAGTAGCACAGGGGACCACAAGGGAGGGGAGGGAAAACTGGGAAGAAATTAGAGAGGGAGACAGGCCATGAGAGACTCTTGACTCTGGGAAACAGAGGGTTATAGAAGGTGATGTGGGTGGGGGAATGGGGTAACTGGGTGATGGGCATTAAAGAGGGCATGTGATGTGATGAGCACTGAGCGTTATATGCACCTAATAATCAATGAACACTACATCAAAAACTAATGATGTACTGTGTGTTGGCTAATTGAATTAAAAAAAAATAAAGAGTTGGATGCCCTACTGACTGAGCCAGCCAGGTGCCCCAGTGATTATTCTTTTGTCATTATTAACAGATATCTTTTCAGCATCCTTGCTCTCATATAATGCAGATATAGATATACTTTACGTATACCCTTCATCTGCCCTTGCCTTCTTGCTTGTTTAAAAATTTATTCATGGGGGACCCCTGGGTGGCTTAGTCGGTTAAGTGTCTGCCTTCAGCTCAGGTCATGATCCCAGGGTCTTGAGATCAAGTACCGCATCGGGCTCCTTGATTAGCTGGGAGCCTGCTTCTCCTTCTGCCTGCTCTGCCTCACTCCCCCTGCTTGTGCTCTCTCTCTGTTAAATAAATAAATAAAATCTTTATTTTATATTTATAATTATTTATAAATATAAATTAAAAAAATAAATATTTATAAATAAATATTTATTTATTTGACAGAGAGAGACACAGCAAGAGAGGGGACACAAGCAGGGAGAGTGGGAGAGGGAGAAGCAGGGAGCCTGACATGGGGCTTGATCCCAGGATCCTGGGATCATGACCTGAGCCGAAGGCAGACGCTTAACGACTGAGCCACCCAGGTGCCTCAATAAATAAAATCTTTTAAAAAAATGTATTCATGGGTAAAATGAAAAAATACACAGTAGCCGTGATCACAAGTTGCTGTCATTTGTACACTCAACTGTGACAGCACATCAGTAACTGTTGAAAGAAGTCATATTAGAATGGAAGACTGAAACATTATTATAGACATAACCTTGGATCAGCTCTAATCTCTTTAAAAAAAGATATACTTTCATTCAAGTGTACCTCAATATATTGTATACCTCAAAGTTAAGGATTCCTTTTTTAAAAAAAGCATAACCATAAAACCATATGATACCTAAAAATAAACAACCCTTTTATCATCAGATATCCAGTTAGTATCACCCATATCTCTATGCCCAGTTTCTTTTATTTTTTATTTTTTAAAGATTATTTGAGGGAGAGAGAGAGACACAGAGAGAGCACAAGCAGGGGGAGAGGCAGAGGAAGAGGGAGAAGCAGACCCCCTGCCGAGCCGGGACCCCCCCCCCAATGGGGCTCGATCCCAGAACCTGGAGATCATGACCTGAGCTGAAGGCAGACGCCCAACCATCTGAGCCACCCAGGCGCCCCCCGCCCCAGTTTCTTTTAATTCAGTGGTACAGGAAATGAAAAGTTGACAAATCACTCAAAGATGACAATTTACACTGGTAACCAGGATATAGTACTTTTGGATGTATTACAGTTTTTAGTTTGTTAACTCTGTAAGCAAGATGTCTACTTTCCTTAAACCATTAATACTCTTTTCTTCTTTCTGATATTTGTTGGCATTTGTATATACCATAAACAGTACAGTAGGCCACTTCCTTTAATAAATAAGGTGAGCCTTGTTCTGGGGTTACCTTCTGTTTGATTTATGTTGATGTGTTTATTTAAACTTACCAGTTTTAAGAGTTCTAGAAGATACACATAAAGGCAGGACACAAGATGAAATTTTATCTACAAATTTATATATCTGATAGAATTTACTGGTAGAGATGTTTACATTTTGGCTTTTTTGGAGGTGGGGGATGGTAATTGTGCATTTGCAACTATGCCTTTCCTTTTTTTTATTTTAAGATTTTATTTATTTATTTATTTATTTGAGAGAGAGAGATTGAAAGAACAAGTGTGAGGAGGGGCAGAGGGAGAACCAGACTCCCTGTGGAGCAGGGAGCCCGACACGGGACTCAATCCCAGGACCCTGGGATCATGACCTGAGCTGAAGGCAGACACTTAACCAACTGAGCCACCCAGGCACCCAGAACACACAATTACTAACTCCTTTCCCTCCTTTAGTTTTCTTAATTTGTGCAGAAGACTGCAGTGTGCAGTATATGCTACGGCACTTTATAATGTCAGAAAGACATCTTGTTCAAGATACACACACACACAAAAACCACCCTATGATTTAAGATTCCATCAGTATTCAGGTGTAAGAATGCAAGTCAGTTGTCAGGCACAGATTAAATGAGTTAAGAGCAGAGCTGGTTCTTTGCCTGTGGCTCTTTATATTTCTTTGTACTATTTTACTAATTAACAGTTTTCTTTTACTTGAAGATAGCTTATATGCTTTTGGGTAAATAACCTCAGTAGTTAAGAGCACAGAAGCTTCAGAGTGATAATGACACTAAACTTATTTCCCATTCTCCTTGCCTTGTGATAGTAGTAGTGGTCGTAATATAGGTAGTTATATAATGACCCTGTATAGCATATGCAATGTGTTAGGCAAAAACTAAGTGCTTTACATGTACTAACTCACTTAATCCACAGAACAACCCCATGAAATAGATACTATTATCCTCATTTTACTGATGAGGGATTGAGGCAGAGAGAGGTTAGTAACTGACTACTCCATAAGTACAAACAACTGGTAAGCAGCAGAGCTAGGAATTGATCTGAGCAGCCTGGCGCCAGGGTCCTTCCTCCCAACTATTATACTGTACTGTACTTAATCGACACTCATGTAAGTAAAGGGAAATGTGAGATAAAAAATGCTTTTAACATCTTTGTGGGCTCTATGGAACTTATTATTTGTTCATTCAGTGCTCCCTGTAGAATCAGTGATTACAGAGAGAACATTTAATCTCAAAGCATTCATCCCTATTTTCAAACTAGTATTTTCAGATCTGTTCTCCATCTGAGACCTTGCATTTAGAAAAAGTACATTTGAACTTTTTAGTTGAATTGGCAGATCAAGAGCTTACAGACAGGATATTGCCTTTGAGTATTTAGACTGTATGTGCTGACCCCCTGAAGCAGTAATTTGGTTAGATCACAATGTTTCCATTAGAGTACAGCAGTATTAGGGGTTCTAACTTCAAAGTGTGTATGTGTGTGTTTTATATGTATCTTTGTAAATAGGCCACTTCTTTACAAATGGAACCAAGATTCTAAATATCTTTCAGAGCCATTTAAATCCAAGAAATACCTAAGCATTTGAAGTAGAACTATGAGCAATGCAAAATGTTACCTTTCTGGAGACTTGTGATAAGTAAAATAAATAAAACAACCTGCCCATTTTTAAATGCTTAAAGAACCTAAAGAACCTCCAGTTAATTTTGCAGAATTAGTTCTCACTTGAGCATTGATTTACATACACTTTTTATCTTTTTTTTTTTGAAGATTTTATTTATTTGAGAGAGAGAGAATGAGAGATAGAGAGCATGAGAGGGAAGAGGGTCAGAGGGAGAAGCAGAATCCCCGCTGAGCAGGGAGCCCGATGCGGGACTCGATCCCAGGACTCCAGGATCATGACATGAGCCGAAGGCAGTCGCTTAACCAACTGAGCCACCCAGGCGCCCAACATACACTTTTTATCTTGAAGTCTAAGCTAATAGCCATGATTTGATAAGAAAACCAGTGTTCTCTTTTCTTCTACTTCCTTTGTCTTAGGTTTTTGTGGGTCTGCTGTGCTCTGAACACATATGCTTAGAACACATCTACTCTAAAAAAAGAGAAGAACACATCTAGTCTGGTGCTTTGGGTCAATCACATGTTTGGCTGGAGGGCAAGTGTGCCTTTTATGGAGGCAGGTGATTTTCTCATGCTAATTTTCTTTCCCCTAGGTTTATGAAGGCCTGGACATCATCACCAACAAGGTTTCTGCCCAAGAGCAGAGAATATGCCAGCATCACATGATCAGCTTTGTGGATCCTCTCGTGACAAATTACACAGTTGTGGACTTCAGGAACAAGGCAACTGCTCTGATATCCTTAGGAAAGACAGCGACTAGGCTTGGTGGGTATAAGGCAGTCCAAGACAAGAAAGAAGTTTTTGTTTCAGTGACAATTTCTTCTAAGCAGGGGCACCCAAGACTTAGCAACCAATAGGCAGCACCCCCATCAGAACTATATGGATCAAAAGATACAGTGCCCTTGCTTCTCAGAGTCTTGTCAGACTAGCATCAGCCATCCCTTGGGCGCTTATAAGAAATGCTGAATTTGGGCCTCACTCCAGAACTACTGAATCAGAATCTACATTTCACAAGAGTCCCAGGTGATTCATATGCATATTAAAATTTGAGAAACTGTTTTAGTGGAGAGAACACTGATTTAGGAACTAGAAAATCTGTGTTCTAGTCCCAGAACTGCCTCTTTGGACCAAGTGAATTTTATTGGGTAGAGCATTTACCCAACTCAGCTTCAGTTTCCCACCCTTTAAATGGGGATACAAAATCAATTTATAAATATGGAGTTAGAGTTTAATAGGGATTGTTGGGTGAGGGAGGACTGCAAAAACAGTAAATTTTTTTTCTGTGATCAGCGATCTTTGATTGATTAAGTAAGCTCTACGCCCAGCATGGAGCCCAACATGGGGCTTAAACTCAAAATCCTGAAATCAAGACCTGAGCTGAGATCAAGTCATACGCTTAACTGACTGAGCCACCCAGGTGCCCCTTGTTTATTTTTTAAAATTTTAATTCTAGTATAGTTAACATATAGTGTTATATTAGTTTCAACACCAGTACATTTTGAAAAAAGAATAATATAAGGGGGACTGTCCTTATATTTTAATTGTCCAGACTTCCAGATGGGGTGCCTGGCTGGCTCAGTGGAATGAGCATGCAACTCTTGATCTCCGGGTTGTGAGTTCAAGCCTCATGTTGGGTATAGAGATTGCTTTAAAAAATTTTTGGACTGCCAGATAATAAAATGTAAGGAAAATTCATAATAATTATCATAGTATAGAACTTATACCAGACAAATTTATGACACAGAATAGAAAATTCAGATACAAATTAAAATGGATGTATATATTTACCTTATGATCAAGGTGGCATTTAAAACAATAGAGAAATAATGCCGTAGTTAATATTCTTGGGACAGCTAATTTTTTTGGAAAAAAATAAAATCACGATCTCATTATGTATGACATAAATTACAGATGGATTTCAGAGTTAAATACATGTATTTTGAAAACTAAGACAAATGGGATAATATATGATTGAGTAGTTATGTGATTTTAGAGTAGGGAAGGACTTTATAGATACATAGTTTCTAAAAAAGTTATCTTAATGGATTTTTTTAAACTCAAATTTTTCCTTTATTTTACTGTGTTAAATACACACAAAATTTACCACTTAACCATTTTTTAAGTGTACAGTTCAGTTGTATCAAATACATTCATATAGTGGCGCAACCATCACCACCATCCATCCCCATAACCTTCAGATTTGTATTTGTTTTTAAAGATTTATTTATTTGAGAGAGAGTGAGAGCACGAGTGGGAGGGGCAGAGGGAGAGGTAGAGAGAATCCCAAACAGACTCCATGTACTCTATGGGGCTTCATCCCAGGACCCTGAGATCATGACCTAAGCTGAAAACCAAGAGTCAGATGCTCAACTGACTGTACACCTAGGCACCCCCCCTTTTTTTTAAGGAAAGTAGCTAGCTTTGAGTATGTATGAATTAAGAATTTGTGTCAGCAAGAATGTATATCAACCAGAACTAGGTATCCACCCTAGAGTAAGCTTGCCACACATATGAGATAGGTGGTAGATCTCATTCATAGCGGCATTGCTCTTAATGGCAAAAACATAAATACCTGAATTCTTACTTACAGGAGAATGTATAAAATTTGCTTTGTTCATATAAGTACTTTTTCCGCAGTGAAAATGAATAAATTGTAGCTACATGCAGCAATGTAGAAGAATCTGAGAAACAATGTAAAATGTGAGAAATTATAGACATTCATACCATACACATTCATACCATTTATTATAAAAGTTAAAAAGCAAACAAAACTAATCAATATATTTTTTAGGGGGTTACGTATACCTAAGGAATAAGGTAAAGGAAAGCAAGGGAATGATAACAAGAAAAACCAAACAATTCAGGATAGCAAATCTCAGGTTTCCCCACAGAGAGGGGAAGTAGGGGGTTGGGATGGGAATGAATACACAGGAAGCTTCAAAAGAATTGATAACACTCCTTTTCTTACATTGGCTTCATGAGTATATGTTTATTATAAGGCTTCATAATTTACGTATGTTCTTTTGTATATATTGAATATTTTATAATTTTAAAAATTAGCCCACTATAAACAAAATTAAAAAACGTACTGCAAGCCAGAGGGAAAAAAATATTTGTAACATAGGAAAGGCAGATGGTTAATATCCTTAGTATATAAAGAACTCATATGAATCAATATGAAAAATACTTAAAGGGCCTGAGTAGTAATTCACAAAGGAAGAAATCTAAATGATGGTAAACATGAAGAAGGGTTTACCCTTGCTGTTAAGGCCATGCAAATCAAAATAATGAAATCATATTTTTTTGCCTCTCAAATAGGCAGAGATTAAAATGCAGATAATTCTTACCCTACCTGCTTTATGGGACAGTTGTATCAGATGAGATAATGTATATGAAAGCCCTTGGCAAATTAGAACATATCACCAAATGTATGTTGTTGTTTTAAGACACTTTGGTTGTTCAGAAAAAGCTGATAGAAAATAGAGTTTTCAGAGGGCAGTAGGGATGACTTAATCATGTGATTAAGTCTAATTTCTCTAAGAAATTAGAGATTTCTGAGTTTAGGTATGAACCCAAAATCAGAATGTCAGAACTGAAAGTACCTTAAGAAGTATCCAGTTAACCTTCTTGATTTGACAGGCTAAGTAAGGTATTAGATAACAGAGGCCCAGAGAGAAGGGTTTTGCCCAGGATCACAGTTGTTTCATGGCTTGGGCAAACAAGTTAAACCTTTTCCCACCAAGTATCTCCTATCCCATCTCCTTCCTTCTTTTCCACTCTCTCTCTCTTTGGCATCTCACCATTTTCCCCTTCCCTTTTTACTTTGCTTGCTTCCTTTCTCTTTGTCAATCATAGTATATATTTGAATTTTTATTACATTTGCTGTAATTGTATGCTCCCTATACTTAATAGGGGGAATATAGTATTTCTCTTTTTTCAAAAACCAGTAGAGAGGGGTTGCCTGGGTGGCTCAGTTGATTAAAAGTGTCTGCCTTTGGCTTAGGTCATGGTCCCAGAATCCTGGGATGGAGCCCTGCATCGGGCTTTCTGCTCAGCTAGGAGTCGGCTTCTCCCTCTGCCCCTCATCCTGCTCTCCCTTGCTCTCGCTCTCTCAGTCTCGCTCTCAAATAAATAAATAAAATCTTAAAAAAAAAACAAATGGAGAAACAGTGTTTCTTCTTTAAGATCCTTGATTGGTAACAGCTTTCTTTCCACCCCACCCCAACTTCTTGGGTTCGTGTGCTTCTGGTAGAAAAGAGGTCATCTATCTCTGTGCCCACAGACAGGCTAGAAAGGGGAAGAAGTATGTAAATGAGTCTTTGTCTAGGTTGAAAGTCTCTTTTTATCAATTATCCTCAGAAGCAAAGCCCTTCATAAAGCAGATAATTATCTGTTCAACAGGGATTCTAAAGAGAAGAATTCAAAGTAGCAGGGATATAAAAACAATAGTGGCTCAAGTAAATTCAGTACTTACTCAATTGAAAGCAAATATTTCAGGCATCATGGTAGGGGATTTATATGCTTTGTCACATTTAATGCTCCTTAGAATTCAGGAGAATTTTACAGGTGAGAAAACTGAAGCTCAGGCTGAATAACTTATCAGAGAGTTGGAGTGGTAATTGAGATCTGTTTGTCTTTGGAACCTGTGCTTCTCAGTTTATCTGGCGAAGTCTCATATGGGGCTGAAATGTGCAGTACTACCACATAATGGTAAGGACTGACTGAGTCTAAGAACCATGGCATAGAGAAACCAGTTTGTATTTTATTTATTTATTTATTTATTTATTTATTTTTAAAGATTTTATTTATTTATTTGAGAGAGAGAATGAGATAGAGAGAGAGAGACCATGAGAGGGGGGAGGGTCCGAGGGAGAAGCAGACTCACTGCTGAGCAGGGAGCCCGATGCGGGACTCGATCCTGGGACTCCAGGATCATGACCTGAGCCGAAGGCAGTCGCTCAACCAAGCCACCCAGGCGCCCGAAACCAGTTTGTATTTTGTCTTAGAAGGCAGTCACACAATGGACATCACCTTGGTGGCTTCCTGAGCAGCTGACACTTGGTTCTCTGAGAGCCCTTAGGCTTGTGCTGGTTAAACTGATTTGGAATACCAAGCAATCTTTGAATTTTAGCAGCAAGGCCTAGAAATTTCTAGAACTGGAAGGAATTACCATCATGCATCTGTATCTGGTTTATGCAGGTCCTTCCAGAACTAATAGGAAATGCTTCTGAGAACTCATGGGAAACGGTGAAGACTGATTATCAGTTCATCTTGGTTTCCACCCTTTCTCCTCTGTTCTCCAGACGAGTAAATGAGTGTGGTTTCTTGCTAATACCTCCTTCCCAAGTGAGTCAGGATGCTCTTCTTGATATTAAATATTGTGATGTCTTTCTTAACATTCACATTGAAGATATATTTGCCCGAGACAAAATTCCTATTGTCGTGGGAGGAACCAATTATTACATTGAGTCTCTGCTCTGGAAAGTTCTTGTCAATACTAAGGTATGTTTAGTTCACTTACAAGTCACTGAGGAAATGGGTTCCTCTTTCTTGCCAGCTAATTTTAGTGGGAGGAAGGTTGACTCTTGTCTGTTTCTTAAACTCAGCAACTGTAATTTTCTTACTTAATATTCTGAAGCAAATGCCACCTCCATATGTGAAGTGTGCTCCTCCAGGGTGGCCTGAGGGCAGGGGCCGTGTGTGGGAAAAATGCTCCCTGTGAATTAATTAGCAACTCCATGTAGGTTAACAGTTCATCAGTCTGACTCAGCATTTCTTGGCTATTACAATCTGTACATCAGTGAGATGTCCAACACTAACCTTTCTTACGGAGATGCTATTGCATAGGGTGAGAGTTTGCAAACTGTAATATGTGGGCAATCCTGGTCCACACTGGTCACTTGCTGAGAAGACTGGACTTCTGGATATGTTAACACAGATGTGTTAGCCCTGGTTCCTGTTTATACTTCTGACAAGGAAGCAGGTACCTGAGTACTTCCCTGAGCAGTAAGTCCTCCTTTGTGTGCTGTGGCCTCACAACACTATCACAGTGTATTGGAATTTTCTGTGGTCTCTCTCTCACTATATGGCAAGACCTTCTGATTTCTCTCTGTTCTGTATTTCTAACTCCTAGCAAAGTGCCTGGCATATACACTGTTGCAATGCCTGTTGAACTGTTGAATTAAATTTACTTCTAAACCTTCTTTTAATAGCCCCAGGAGGTGGGCACTGAGAAGGTGATTGACCGGAAAGTAGAGCTTGAAAAGGAAGATGGCCATGTACTCCACAAACGCCTCAGCCAAGTGGACCCAGAAATGGCTGCCAAATTGCACCCACATGACAAGCGCAAAGTGGCCAGGTAAGAAAGCCTGGGCCCACTGAGCCTGAGTCCCTCTGGAGTTGGGCCGTCAGTTCTTCAGTGTGCCTAGGTAATGAGAGGGGTTTGGTAATAGCAGTTGGTGCAGATTGGTATATTCCCAGCACACAGGTTGCAAGGCCCTGAGGTACTGCCTCAGTCTACCTCCCTCAATAAATAATTGCACCCAACTTTGTTATTTTAAAATGTATAATACAATAGAGTTTTCCCTAGGGCCTAGGTAATTGCGCTTCATTTCCTATTTGATCTTTGCTTGTATAACAGTTTTCATATAAATTTTTTCTGGCATGCAGTTGGTTTACATTGTGATTTGAGTTTTATAATTGATGGCGCAATGCTGAGTTCTGCCCCAGCAGCTTTCCCAGTGGGAGGTAGATTTTATAAACTGTCTCATAGACCAACTCACCTTCACATATGGAGGCTTTCTTGAAGGGAAGGCAGAGGTGGTGAATGAACTCATAAGGTCATGTTTTCTTAGGGTGTTTTGAAATTGCAGCCTCGTGTGTTAAGTTTATTCTGCAGTGTTGGGAGTGATACCATATCTAGCAGAGTAGAGGATCTAATAAAGGACGGTTGATTACACAGATTAAATATTATAGCACCATCTGGTATTGATAGGGATTATAAAGTATTCCACTCAAATGAATGTTCTAGATCAGTGTTTCTTAATCCTTTTTCATTATCTCCCACCACCCCACACACACCCAGAGACTTTTTAGAAATTTTTTTCCTAGTTGTGCCTCCCTCCCTCCCTGTCCTTCATGCAATTTAGTACTAAAGAATAATATTTCTTTGGGTATGGTTGGCCCTTTGGAGTGTCATACACCATTGTAATGTCTAAGTTTTTTTGCCTCCTTGAGAGCAGTATCATCTCAGGTGATAATGCACATTCTAGATAAATGAAATTTATACTTTCAGTATCCAGACATTTTATTTTAAAACATTTTAATAGAGATCTTTCAAAAATTTTTGAAAAACAGGGACATTAATGATGAACATTCATTTTTATGTTGTTTTATGATGTAATTCTAGAGCTTGGTCTTTATTATCCTCTCTTTTTATTGATGAGTTTTTTCTTATCACCTCTCTTCATTTTGCTACTTCTAAACTAGTAATGAGTCAAGAATTGTGTCTTAGTAAGAGTCAGTAGCTTCTAAGCAAGTTCCAGAGTCTCTTCTTTAGAGAGGACTGGAGGACTTTGTTCATGTTTCTTTTCTTTTCTTTTTAAAGGTTTTTATTTATTTTCATTTGAGAGAGAAAGAGAGAGCACAAGCAGGGGACGGGGGTGGAGGGGCTGAGGGAGAAGCAGACTCCCCACAGAACAGGGAGCCCGATGCAGGGCTTGATCCCAGGATCCCGGGATCATGACCTGAGCTGAAGGCAGACGCTTAACTGACTGAGCCACCCAGGCGTCCCTCATCTTTCTTTTAGTTTAAGACTGTATCCCAATCTCCAGATAATTAAGATTGTCTATTACTATGATTTTTCCTCACAGGTCCTCTTTGAGTGATCAGCAGTACGGAAAGACAAGGGGTCTCTACTCTTGTGTTAGGGTTTCAGGAAGTAGAATTGGGTCAGGGAGGGAAAGATCACTTTCAGTCTGATGAGCTGCAGTCACCCAGAGTGGTGGAGTGTAGATTTGAGAGTTACATTACCTAGGGCTGCATAACTGATAGAGGCAGACAGAGCCGAGGGTGGCTGAAGAATAAGTATGTGAATTCTTTCTGCAGTGGTTTTTGTGCTAGTAGAGTACCAGATCAGTCAGAAGTGTTCTTCCTTAATTCTAGACCTATGTAAAAAAAAAAAAGTTGATGAGCTGGATATACAGCATACTTTTGTACTGTGGGAAAGGCGTTCCAGCGAGACTGGACTTGCTGGCTTGTAACAGTCTCCCAAATAAGCTCTTTTACTGCTTACCTGAAGGTGAGTGAGTCCCATTCTATTTGTGTGGAAGAAGCCTGCTGTTTCTGAACCTGAGTTTAGAAAAATTAATATATGTTTAGAAGAATAGTGTTATTCTTACTTTACCTAAAATTTTCTTTGGGACTGTTTTCTGAGTAGCTATAGGATTGGAGTAACCCCAGACCTTCATGTCTTCAGGAGCTTATACAGTGAAGATGAGAAAGAGGTGTTCTATAATAAATAGGCTCTCTCCTTGTTTCATTGGAGAGTCAAATTTTCTAATGTTTTTTTTGGGTGTCCCCCCCCCCCGCCCCTTTAAATGACTTAGGAGCTTGCAAGTGTTTGAAGAAACGGGAATCTCTCATAGTGAATTTCTTCATCGTCAACATGCAGAGGAAGGTGGTGGTCCCCTTGGAGGCCCTCTGAAGTTCCCTAACCTATGCATCCTCTGGCTTCATGCTGACCAGACAGGTAAAAGCCCTTTGATGCCTTAGAATACATCTGAGATAGAGCCTGCCCAGAACCATGAGTAGCTCATAATAAGCACTAAATAAGTGTTAGCTTTTAATTTTATAATTACTGTTACTCATTAACTTAGTAAGGCACAGTGCCTTTCCCCTAGGTATCTGTCTGGAAGGGGAAGAAGGGTGGCCCTGGCACTAGGGTAAGATACCAAGGATGGGATAAGAGGGAGATGGGTGGCATGAGTAAGAGACTGCCGGCGGGGAAGGTCTCAAGAGAAGGAGAAGGAAGGCTCTGTGGAAGGAGGTCTGATTCCCTGGATTGGCTGGGTGGAGGCTGCATCATTGATTATTCCAGAAGCGGCAGGCCTCAGAAATGGGTATGATGGTTAGTTAGCTAGCCTGATTGTGGTTTTTTTTGTAAAGTCTGATAATGCCCTGTGATAGTGCTAACAACTTCTTCATCCAGCTAACATTCAGTAAGCATTCAATGAAGTGCCAAGTATGCTGCGTAATTTCCTGGATTTCAGAGATGAATGTGAGACTGTGCCTGGTTTTTAGGAGCTCCCAGTCTAGGGCAGCAAACAAATACAGATACTACATTGTGATAAATGCTGGGCTAGAAAGTAGTACTGTGAGGCCACAGAGAAGGGATACCCATTTTTTTTTTTTAAGATTTTATTTATTTGACAGAGAGATACAGCAAGAGAGGGAACACAAGCAGGGGGAGTGGGAGAGGGAGAAGCAGGCTTCCTGCGGAGCAGGGAGCCCGATGCGGGGCTCAATCCCAGGACCCTGGGATCATGACCTGAGCTGAAGGCAGATGCTTAACGACTGAGCCACTCAGGTGCCCTGGGATACCCATTTTTAAGGGTAACCTATGAGCTAGGTCTGTATGTGAATGATTAAGAACACGGTCTCTGAGCCAAACCGTCTGGATTCATACTCCTGCTCCACCGTCTTCTAGCTATGTGAGTTTCAAGGCAAGTTAGTTAACCTCCCAGTGCCCCAATTTTCTCTTCTGTAAATTGGAATTGATGATAATAATAATATGTATATGTATTGAGGATTAGATGAGTTACAACATACAAAGTGCTCAGAATGTGCATAACATGTGGTGAGTCTTTAATAAATACAAACTTTTTAGGAAGATAGGATAAAAGGTTACTGTTACTGCAGGCTGAGAAGTAGCAATGGCAGATAATGTAGAGCATGGTTGAAATGGTGAAAATTTGTTAAAATAAATCTCAGGTGCAAGTTTATAGAAAAAGGGAATTTTTTAAATGAAATTTTTGTGACTAAAAACATATTGCAATTCATCATAAAATAACGGAATCTGATTCATAATAAAGCTGACCACCACCTTTGGTCATAATCAAGTTTGGCCATCACATCTGAATGATTATGACCCCTGACTCTTTGCTCCTTTGTCTGGCTGTTCTTGTGGCAGCTGTTCTTCTACAACTGTTCTTCTTGTGGCAGCCTGTCCATTCATCATGTAAGTGTCTAGTGGGCACCTATGACAGGCTTGCTGGTTGATGGGCTAATGTGATTGAAGTTCTAGATGAGCGCTTGGATAAGAGGGTGGATGACATGCTTGCTGCTGGGCTCTTGGATGAACTAAGAGATTTTCACAGACGCTATAATCAGAAGAAAGTTGCAGAAAATAGGTGAGGATTTGGCCATTTCTTTGACCTACTCTCCCTCCCTTGCTTATGATCAAAAGATCATAAATGTAATACTGGCTTTGGATCTACTTGTTTATTAGCCATTGTCCTTGGCATTGGCAAGGCTTGTTGGAAGGAGGTCTGGTGTACTTGTTACAGTTGCACTTTTCTAATCTCAGACATTCCCAGGAGTTAATTTTCAAGGGAACTAACCAGGGAGCTGGTGGGGGCTGGTGGAGGAAGTTTAGAGAGGCAGTAACTGCTCCGGATCTCAATTTCTCATCTGTGAGATGAAATGGCCCAGCTAGATCTTCTCTAAGGCCCCTTCTAGCTCTCTGATGCAATGGCTCATCTGCTGATGCTCTCCTTTTCCCAGCCAGGACTATCAACATGGTATCTTCCAATCCATTGGCTTCAAGGAATTTCACGAGTACCTGGTCACGGAGGGAAAATGCACACCAGAGACTAGTAACCAGCTCCTAAAGAAAGGTGTGAATTCCTCCATCTAACCTAGCCTTGGACATTCTTGGGTGGCAGAGTACCCCGCTGGTATGGTCTGAGAAAGAGTTGAGGCCAGAAGAGTCCCAAATGGCCTTCAACTCAGAATTAAGATTTTTGTCTACCAAGTGTACTCTAGTGTGCTGCTATTGTTGATTTTCTCCTCTGCTGGGCTGGGGGGACTTGCCTTTCGGCTTGGTCAGAACTTAGAGGTTCTTAGATATACCTTGTCTTTCAGGTATTGAGTCTCTGAAACAAGTGACTAAGAGATATGCCCGGAAGCAAAACCGATGGGTTAAAAACCGTTTTTTGAGCAGTAAGTCTTATGTTTTTCCTTAATCCCTGGGTCTGTTTCCAGTAGAATATAGATGTCCTTAGCTCACCCAGAAAAGGAACTTTAGTTTCTGGACCTGTCCTAAGCTTTGGGGACCTGATCTGGGAGAGGGTCTACTGCATAAATGACTATGCAGGGATGCTTCTTTGTAATGTCTTAGAAAACAAATGAAATCTTTCCAATCAGGAGTTGAACACATGGGTGCTGGCTGCAAACAGGTAAGAGCATACTAGCAATATCTTTGCAGCGTCAGTGTTCAAGGTTGACTTTAGCTTCAGATTTTGTACCTGAAGTGCAGTCCGATTTCTGTAGGGAGGCTTTCCTAATTAAAATGGTTCTCGGGTGCCTGGCTGGCTCAGTTGGAAGAGTATGTGACTCTTGATCTCGGGGGTTGTGAGTTTGGGCCCCATGTTGGATGTGGAGATTAATAAAAAAAAAAAAAGAAAGAGAAAAGGAAAGAAAATGGTTCTTAGGCCAGATGAACAGTATCAAAAGTCAAACCTACACCAGTTCTCCCAGCATTGCCTTCACATTCAGGTACGTGGTGCTTTCGAGCGCTGCAGCTTTGCCTTCAATTGAACAGGACTTTTAAGGAAACGGAAGGAAATTCTCCTTCATTTGACCTTGTTCTATGTCTTTGACACTAGATTTGGTGCTGTATGTATATTACTGAGCCTGCAAGGTAGATGTTATTTATTTTTGCAGATAAGGCAATGGAGATTTCAAGAAGTTAAATATCTTGCCAAAAATCTGCCAGCTGAATAAGCAGTATTGAATGCAGGCCTGATCCCCCCCCCCCACCCCCCACACTGTACTTTATAGCACTCTTCTTGTTTCCTGGAGCTATCACCTTAGCTAGACAGCGTTGATATTGGGCCTCGGGTGAGAAATTGTGTGGTTATGAGCTAAAAGGAGATCAATTTCAAGGAGATTAAGTGAAACACCAACTTTATCTTATAGGCACTTTTTAAATAGTCCTGTTTGCCTTTTGCTGTTAGACTTCTGCTTTCAGTTATAGATAAGGACAGCTGAGGCCTCCACTCTGCTCTTCACGGTCTCTGAACAGGAACACCTCGATCCATGTTGTTGACCACTGATTGCTGAAGTTCTCTCTCCCGTGCTCGCTCTCTGCCAGACCTCTCTGGGGTAGTTCTGGCACCAAGGGGCTCTTTATACTTCCTTCTACTTACCCTGCTTTCTTGGCATGTCCTGTCAAGAGTTTGTGGCTTCAGCTAAAATCGAAATTGAATTGCATTGACTGAAATTCACTACTACAGATTTCTAATGCAGCTTCTCTTCTCCCCAGGGCTAACAATTAGTCTGTAACAAAAGATGTTTTTTGTAATGATTTGAAACTTCCTCCTGTTGTAAAGCCACAATAACTCCCCCATCTCTGAGTCAGGAGGGATTGATGGCACACAGTGCATCATCTGCCCATTCCTCATTCATGTGTATGCTGCCGGCTCAGTTCTGGTGCTAGAGTGAAAGGCACAGCTGCCTTGTAAACCAGGAGCCGTGTGTGATTGGCCAGGGCTAGTCTGCTGGGACATGGCTCTGGCAAGAAGCCAGAGGGACTTCCCCGCCCCAACTTGGCCTTGGACCCATGCCAGAAATAGCAGCTGGGAGCCGAGAACTTGTTGAAAGGTGCTTAGACAGGGCACAGAAGCCCAACAAAGGACTCAGAGGGGAAAGGAAAATATAGGGTGGCCTGGAAACAGGTGCAGAGCTTAGCCAAGGCCAGGTGTGCTGTGGATGCTGCCTACACCCTCCCAGTCTCACCTTTCCGCGTGGTGGCAGGTGCAGCCCAGTCCATTTTATGAAGAATCTTACTTGTGGTTGGCACAATCAAAAGGCCAGCACCTGCCAGCCGTTGGCATCCTAAGGACTTTGATGTTTTTGTCCATGGGGAGATGCTCTTTGCCTTTAGGCAGCTGACTTGACCTAGCTGTGGGAGGCAATTTAGTGTGTCCGTAGATGGGAAGCTACCAGGAGAGACTAAACAGGGCTGGCTCCAATGGACAGAACGCCTGTGGCTGTACCTTGGGCTATCCCCAGTCACCCTCCACTCAGAAGTATCTACCAAAGGGTGTTTCTTGAACACTCCTCTAGATCTGTTTCCTAAAAGAAGGGGCTCAACTAGTTCAATTTCAAGGCTTCTTTCTAGTTCTCAGATTTAGTGGCTCATTGATTGATATTCTTCTGTTCCCAGTCCCTGAATATCCGTATGGTATCAACAAGTTTCATGAATGCCATACTGCGGAAGGGATATATACAAACCTGAGACTAGTGTCTGCTCCTAAAGAAAGCCCTGAACTCTTTTGCCACAAGCGCAACATCACTGTAAGATGATAGGCAACTTAGAATAGGCATTTACTTCAAGCTGTTAATTTATTTACTCCTATGATATGCTATCTTCATATTGTAGCCCATGTGGTAGTCACTAGAGCCGTTACTCCGTTCTGTTTTTCTGACTGATCTGGAGGATCCTGTCTCTAGAAGTCTCTGGATTATACAGCTAGACTTGTTGGCTACAGATCAGTGAACCTTCTAGGTCATTCTTGGATTGTATGTAGTTGTTTGGTTCATATTTCTAGTTAGAATGAATGGCATGATCAGAATGTTTATTCCTTTGGCCCCCATATATTTCCTTTGAGGATTTTGGAGTCCTGGGAGCAGAATTGATTGGAGTCTTGGAGGCTGACTTCTCACAACTTCTCTTTGTCATCATTAGGACCGGGTCCCAGTGTCCCCCCAGTGTATGGCTTAGAAGTGTCTGATGTCTCGAAGTGGGAAGAGTCTGTTCTTGAACCTGCTCTTGAAATCGTGCAAAGTTTCATCCAGGTGATTATTAATCATAGTACTGCGTATTGTCTGGCTTTCAGAGAGCTTTCTTTAGCCGGCACCGTTGTTAGTAGGGAACCAAGCTTTCTTTTCTATGGAATAGAGCAGAAGAGCTGGCTGCTTTTAGATCCCTGGAGGCTGTGTTTCTACTTTCACATTTAGAAAGGTTGTTGCTAAAATCTGTCGGTAGTCCACCTGTTTCTCTGGGATGAGAAAAAGGAATCTTGGGAAAATCCCAGTCTCCTTATTAATATCAGAGAATGAGATCCAAATCTCTTTGAGTTGATTGCTTCTCTCCCACCCCACCCCCCGCCCCATTCTTTCAGGGCCACAAGCCTGCAGCTGCTCCAGTAAAGATGCCATACAATGAAACGGAGAACAAGAGAAGTTATCACATATGTGACCTCTGTGATCGAATCATCATTGGGGACCGTGAATGGGCAGGTAGAATCTGGGGAAGGGCATGGAGAAATCTGTAAGGGTGGCTCACAGTGACTTTGTGAACTTTAAGGTCTTCAGTAGGTTGAATGCTGGAGTCTGCTTTTTTTTTTTTTTAAAGATTTTATTTATTTTTTGACAGAGAGGAGAGAGAGCACAAGCACAAGCAGGGGAGCAGCAGAGGGAGAGGGAGAAGCAGGCTCCCCACTGAGCAAGGATCCCAATGCAGGGCTCCATCCCAGGACCCAGGGATCATGACCTGAGCTGAGGGCTGATGCTTAACCAACTGAGCCACCCAGGCACCCCTAAAGTAGATATTTTGTACTGAGAGGTCTGCAGTTAACTTTCCAGAGCTCCTTTGATTTTCCTGATCCTACCTTCTAGGAGTTTCTTGGCCTTTCATGTTTAGAATGCAGTGTAGGTGAGGTGGGATTGTAAGGGATACCAGCCAGCTCACCCAAGACACCAAAGAAGCAGAAACAGCTGGGAGAGTGGGAGGAAGTGCAGTTACTCCTCCCAAGTACATTCTTTGAAAGTGGGGGTCTCTTTGGTAATTTTTAAGGTAATATATTGAAATGGTGGTGATTGCTAAAGCTATGATGAAAAGTGTTAAGAGAAGTTGTGAAAACAGGGGCGCTGGGTGTCTCAGTAGGTTAAGCGTCCGACTCTTGGTTTCAGCTCAGGTCATGATCTCAATGTTGTGGGAAGGAGCCCCCCATTGAACCCTGCTCTAAGCACCCCCCTCCCCCACGCATGCACTCTTTCTTTCAAGTAAATAAATCTTAAAAAAAAAAAAAAAGAAGCTGTGAAAGGAAAGCTGTCAGACTTGTATAAAGAAGGTGGCCGAAGGGTGATGTCTTCTTTAAAGGTACTCCTGAGCAACCAGCATGGGTCCTGACCTAATTCTCTCTTTCGCTCTTTTAGAGCCTGGATCTGCCTCTACCACAGTCATACTGAACTCCCCTGTCAGATTCTTGTAGTCCTCTAGTCAAAGCCCAAAAAGGGCCAGGGCCTCCCAAGTCTTGAGTTTACATTGTATTTGGAAACTTGTTTAAGTCTCACTCCTTTTGAGCACAGTAAGGCTTGTAGGGACCCAGTGGCTGGAATCCTGTTCAGAGTACTGCCTTGCATGGGATTTTCCTAGAAATAGAGTTTTCTTCCCATACAAACCAATAGAATGATTAGTTCTGTTAACTGGTAACGCTGGCAAAATGAACTCCATTGTCAGAGACTGGGGATGGCTGTGATTTGCCCAAGCAGCAGAAGAAGCCTCGATTGTCATTGGTTTATAATGATGAAAGGGGAAGAGAAAGAGAGTGTCTGATTGTTTTTTCTAAAGGAAACTTAGTGGTTCGATTTGTCGAATGTCCTTCAGGGATAGCCTTAAAGAAACAACATTTGTGAGCCTTTGTGAGCTTAGCTTGTGTGAACCCTTCTATAGTGCCATCTGTCAAGTCCTTGCTCCCATCTCCTGCTGCCATGGAGAGCCAGGCCAGAAGCCCTTTTTTGCCTTAGGCTCTAGCTGGAGAATAAAGCTGACTTTTTTCCCCCAAGTAAACTTTTCTTTGACTTCTAACCTCTTCCTTACTTGTTTTTTGCTTTGAAACCCTTAAAATGATGTTTTTAATAGATATCAAAGATCATTTAATCTAGTCATCTATCTCATTAGAGGCTTCCAAAGAGAATTTCCTTGAAAAAGAATAAGTAAAAAGAAGCTAGTATGAGTTAGAGGGTGGGAACAGTCTTTGGGGTGAGAGTTCAGAAATTGGTATAAGGCAGGGGTGCCTAGGTGGCTCAGTCATTAAGTGTCTGCCTTCGGCTCATGTCATGATCCCAGGGTCCTGGGATCGAGCCCTGGATCGAGCTCCCTGCTCAGCGGGAAGCCTGCTTCTCCCTCTCCCACGCCCCCTACTTGTGCTCCCTCTCTCGCTGTGTCTCCCTCTGTCAAATAAATAAATAAAATCTTAGAAAAAAAAAAAAAAGAAATTAGTATCAGGCAACAGTGACCTTTCAGCTTTATGGCTTCTGTGGACCCTCAAAAAGGATCGACAAAGAAGAATGCTTCCTGTTATCTCCCTGGAGCATTGTGTGCTTGGAGAATGTGAACCTTGTGGGTTAGTCATTCAGATGGCTTGTCTAACCCAGGCAGAGGGATGTCAGATCAGCAGGGGCAACCTGTGTGAGCAGGAAGAAGTGCCAGGACAGCTCTAGGTCTCATGTGGGACAGAGCATCTGTCCTGCAATACAGACAAGGATTTGGATTTGTAACTTTTTAGCTGAGTGAGTTGAAAGGTAATCTATCTGTAACAAGAAGCCCCGTACTGGAAAATTGAGTCTAGAGCCTTGATTCTGGAAAATTTGGTCTCTTTTTGAACTATAGGTGAGCTAAAGAACTTAACCTGCTGTGTGTCCTTGGACAAAATCGAAGTCCTTGGTGAACTTCGGTTTCCTTCTGTATAAAATGAGCTGAATAATACTGTCCTGCAAGTTGGCTGTGAGGATTAGTGATATAAAGCACCCAGCAGGGTACACTTAATGCATGGTAGCTTGCTGGCCATATAACTTTGCCTTCCCTTAAAAATGCTAAGCAGCTATACCAGTACATGTTGATCCTGTTACTGTTAAAGAAAAGGATTGTATAGTTAATTTTGTATGCTTCTAGGATTGATTCTAGAAAGTTCTAATGAGTTGTTTTTGTTTTGTTTTGTCTTAGCACATATAAAATCCAAATCCCACTTGCACCAACTGAAGAAGAGAAGAAGATTGGACTTGGATGCTGTAGCTACCGTAGAAAATCAGAGTATTTCTCCAGACCGTGACAAAGAGCTTAAAGAGAAAGGATCCCCAGGGCAGAATGAAAAAGAGCTGAAATCTGGTGTTTAAAGAGACAAGTCCAGTAGCCTTTGCACAGGTAGGGACCCAGTTCAGGAGGGAGGGTTATGTCGGTATCCCCGTCTGGACTGAGGAGTGCTATGCAGAAAGCCCCCACCATTTTCTTTCTTTGGTGGTATAGTTTTAAAGTCTCGTGCTCTCTGTCACGGGAACAGCAGGTCTTGTTAGCTTCTTGTTTGGCTCATGTGCCTGGTAATGATGATTTGGGGAAGGAATTTTTTTTCTTTCAACCTTAAAGGTTCTATTTTTGAAAGAGGCACAGATTGCACTTTTTAATACTTGAGGATCTTTTTGGTAATGAATACCTGAATTTCCTATATCCCTTAAAAAAGTTTTATGTCCCTGACTCTGGCTAAAAATATCTCATTTTCAGATACTTTTATAAAAGATGACTGAAGTATTGTGAGCCACAAATCAGGAGTTCTGGATTTGGGTGAATGACAGGAAAGCCCCAGCCCCAGTGAGATGAGTAAGTGACCTCAACCAGTTCTTGGAATTCCACGGAGAAGGAGAGAAGGAGGTGGTCATGACGTGGCACTTGAAAACGAGACTTTAACATTTGTTGAGGTCCTCCTGTGTGATAATTACTATCACTGCTGTCTTTCTATTGAGTTAGGAGTCTATATTTTTATTAAAAGTTAAATAAAGAAAAAGTTTCCAAGAGTCTCTTTAGTCCTTAAAAAAATGTATATTCCGTGTCTAGTTTATACACAGTAGGCTCTGTTATCAACATACATAATAGCTTTGGGGCATCTGGGTGGCTCAGTCGGTTAAGTATCCTACTCTTGATCTCAGCTCGGGTCTTGATCTCAGGGTCCTGAGTTCAGGTCCTGTGTTGGGCTCCACACTGGGCTTGGAGCCTACTTAAAACAAAACAAAACAAAAAAACAACAACCACGAAACAAAAACATGTTAGCCTTTTCTCAAACTTGACATTCTTCATATGATCATACTGTTTGGTCATTATTTAGCAAATGTTTATTGAGCACTTGTTATATTCCTGGAAGACATAGAGGGTGTTTGGAGATGTGTGATTTCCAGCAATGTTGAGTATATGTATGTATTTAGCATAAAATTAAGCATTTTTGTGTTTACAGTTCGGCATTAATTACGTTCATAGTGCTATGCAACTATCACCTCTATTTCCAAAACTTTTTCATCACCCCAAACGGGGTGTATCCATTAAGCCATAACCTCACTCAAGTAATACTTTATTTGTTCAGAATCTACTAGATGACAGGCTAGAGGGAAAAACAGAGATAAAATGAGATGTCGTTCTTGTTTTCAGGGAGCTTTGTTCATACTGTACAAACAGCCAGTCTAGGGAGGAGAATATCTAAAGGCCATAAGAGGTGTGTAGAATTGTACTTTGGAGGGGAGGGAAGTGGGGGGAGAGGATCTTGGAAGAAGGAGCATTTCTGCTGGACTTTAAAAAGCAGTTCTTGGGGTGCCTCGGTGGCTCAGTCGTTAAGCGTCTGCCTTCGGCTCAGGTCGTGAGCTGGGATTGAGCCCCGCATCGGGCTCCCTGCTCGGCGGGAAGCCTGCTTCTCCCTCTCCCACTCCCCCTGCTTGTGTTCCTTCTCTCTCTGTGTCTCTCTCTATCAAATAAATAAATAAAATCTTTAAAAAAAATAAATAAAAAGCAGTTCTTGGTTAGCTGTGTGTAGGAGGAGAGGGTAAAGAACTATCAATCTTGGTTGACCTTTTTTAAACAGTGCTGAATTCCATAGCTTTACCTTTTTTTTCTTTTTCCTTCTAGCATTTTTTAAAAGTTTTATTTTTTTGTTTACATAGTTCAGAATTTGTTTACGTAGTTCAAAAATCAAAATGATATCAAAGACATTCATTAAGGGGTGCCTGGGTGGCTCTCTCGCTCTCTCTCTGAAATAAATAAAATCTTTATTTTTTAAAAAATGTGTTATGTATTTGAGGGGCGCCTGGGTGGCTCAGTCGTTAAGCATCTGCCTTCGGCTCAGGTCATGATCCCAGGGTCCTGGGATCGAGCCCTGCATCAGGCTCTCTGCTCTGCGGGAAGCCTGCTTCTCCCTCCTCCACTCCCCTGGCTTGTGTTCCCTCTCCCTGTCTCTCTCTCTCTCTCTGTCAAATAAATAAATAAAATCTTAAAAAAAAATGTTATGTATTTGAGAGAGAAAGCACAGCAGGGGGCGGCAGGGGTGGAGGCAGAGGGAGAAGCAGACTCCCCACCCAGCAGAGAGCCTGACGTGGGGCTCCATCCCAGGACCTGAGGGATCATGACCTGAGCGGAAGGCAGACACCCAACCAACTGAGCCACCCGGGTGCCCCTAAATAAAATCTTAAAAAAAAAAAGACATTCTTTGAGAAATCTCGCTCCCGTCTCTATCCCCTTCTCCCCAAATAGATACTTACTAGTTTTTTATATCTCTCTCAAGAGTGTTTTAATGCAAAAATGAACAAATAGAAATATATATTCTTTCCCCCTCCCCCCCCTTACCCAAAAGAGCATTTAGCACATACTATCTTCATCTGTCACCTCTCCTGTTAGCAGCATCTGGGTGTGCGTGGATTTCTCCTGCCACCTCTGTCAGGTCTCTTGTTTTGGGCCTTAACCATTTACCCCAGCAGGGTTCACTTACCTCATATACTGAACTTCATTCAGATGCTAGGGTTTAGGCCAAAAACCAGTCTCTGACGAATTCTTAAGCTATGGCCAGCCCATTCATTCAGCCAGCAGATACCTCAGAACTTACCATGTGCTTGGTGCTTTGCTAGACTCAGAGGATACAGGGGTGATCCAGAAAGTCCACACTGATTAAATAATTACAGAATTATAGCTGTAATAAGGCTGCAAAGAAATCACACTTGCTATAAGAGCAAGTAATCCGAGGACCTGCCGCCACCCCACCCCACCCACCCGAGTGTGTGAGAGTGTGCATGTGTTGGGGGAAGGCACGTAACATGGCACAGCATGATGCTAGGGCAGGAGTTTGGAGCCAGGTCTGTAGATACTGTACCACGTGACCTGAAGGCTGAGGTTCTCAGTATGACTTCAGTGGCTTCTCCTCCCTCCTTCCCCACTCTGTGGGATATCCTGGACCTCTTGAGTTTTATTGAGCTTTACCCAATTTTAATGACTTTGAATTTCAAGAATAAAGATTTTCTAAGTCAAAGAAGAAATTATCTTTGTATCCACCCCACGTTGTTCTTTACATGAAACATAATAGAGTTTTCCCAGTCAGTTTTACATTAACTACTTCAGGAGCTAACAGAGCAGAAAGTCACACCTTCCCACTGGAAGTGGGGATAAATATTTAACTGTGAGTCAAACAGGACGGAGCGCTTTATATACTTTCTCTTCTCACGTAGTCCTGGGAGGGAGATGCTGTTTCTCTTCCCATTAACCAGTGGGCAGAGGGACTCCGCACGGGAGAACAGCTGGTGAGCAGCAGTGCAGGCGCTGAGGCACTATTAAGCTGGCTGTAATTTTAGGAGGAGCCTTAGTCTCTCAAATGCTCTTCACTCAAGACACTGAATATATTTTAAAGCTTTAAAAAAAGTCTCAGCGGAGAAGCAGGAAAAACTAGTTTTAATAATCCTACCTCAAAAAACCTTTAATCCTTTCATCTGAACTCCCTGGAGCAGCAACTTCTCATTGAACTCACTGCTATCTCAATGGCAATTGGAAATCAGGAGTTTCCTGAAAGAAAGAAATCCAAGTGCCTAATATTTATGAAGTACCTACGAAATTTAAGGCACTGTGGTTGTGCCCACTGCCCCATTCTTAGAAAATTTAAAGTCAACAAGATGAACTCCCTTCACCATGAGCAGGGAGCCTAGAGAAGAGGAACACTCGAAATCAGCTTGGTGCCCCAGTCTGAGGCCCTGCACTGAGGTAGATCTCCCCTGCTCCGCCTGCTGCCTTCTGAATGACCTTGCTGTTGAGTGTAGGGAAGGGAAGTAGTTCTTCCTAGTGACTGTCGGAAATGTGGAGATGAAAGGATCCTTAGCACCTTCTTGTGCAGATGGGGAGACTGAGGCCCAAAACATGGATATTCCATAGCCATAGAGCAGGTTGTGGCAAAGCCAGGACAAACCTCTGCTTCCCTCTGTTACTACTACTAAATATCTCATTCCAGATCTCATTTGAGAGCTGGAAAGGACCATGGAGATCAACTCTGGGCTATTTGTTCAGCCTGGAGGGAGGATGAAGAGTGCCATTTTGTACCATCTGGCCTCAGCTAATCCCTAGACAAGCCGAGCCCTTTGGTCCAGGTGCTCAAGAGTCTCCAGTCCACAGCAGTGCTTTCTGAATGGCTTTGGTAATTAATTCCAGCACCCAGCAAGCTATTTGGTCCATCTACCTCTGTCAGTAAAAATTTTTTTGCTCCAGTTTTATTGAGATAAAGTCGACATAGAAAGTAAAAATCTTAACTAGCTTTACAATTCTTGTAGTTCAGGCAATGCTATTTTTAAGTGGGTAGGAAATACTTTGACTCTGAAAATCAGAGAGCTGGATTCTTAGTCTTTAAAATATTTTGCTTGATTTTTGGGGCTAAGCAGGAAAACTTCATCTATAGTCTAGGTACATGGTTTGATCCTTTGTAACCCTCAGTAACTGTATTCTTAGCCTCAGTTCCTACAAAGAGATTTTTCTGCTTAAAACACATTAAAAACACCACCAACAAAAAAACGCCAGAAGGCAAGCTTTTATCTTTGAAGGTAGTAACCTGTCTATATATCCCCAACATCTAGAAAATCAAGTATTTGTTGAAATAATTACATGAAAGCATAAAAGCTAAGTGGGTCTCCACATAAATGATCTGTTTTAATTATTAAATAACTTTAACCAGGATGAAGAAATCTTGAGATAGTAACCACAGGAAGGAATTTCAGTATTTATCACCTGCTTGGGCGGTTAGGGCTATTTTCTAAAAAGATGGCTCACTGGTCACTTGTGAAGCTGTTCTGAATACGTACAAAGGAAGCTGCATGGTTGTATTAGTTAGGATAAAAGGCTAAGCTGCTATAACAAAGAGGCTCAACAATACAGTGGCTTAAGGAACAAAGAAGTTTGTTTCTTTCTCACATAACAACTCTGAGGGGGAGTTAACATTTCTGAAGTGAGTGGTCCAGCTCAGTGGGGCAGCTGTGCTCCAAGCAGTTATTCAGGGACACAGACGGGTTCCTCATATCATGTTGCTTTTCCATCCTCTGGGGGGGGGAGGGCATTGTCATTTTATCATCTGCATGAGTGAAGCTGGGTCATCACTGCTTCCAGCCAGTGGGAAGGGGGAAACAAATCCAGAGGAGACACCCAGAGCTTTAAGGCCTGGACCCTGCAGTGGCACACATACCTTGCACTTTCCATGGGCAAGAACTTAGTCATATGGCCATCCACACCTACCTGCAAAGGAGGCTGAGAAATGTAGTCCAGCCATGTGCCAAGAAAAAATGGGAGAGCAGATTTTGGTGGGCAACTTGCAGTCTCCA